ATGCCGAAAGGGAAATATTTCAAAAACGAAAACGTTGAAAATGTATCTACAGATGTAGAAGTTGATGGGATGTCAAATTCATTGACTTCTGCATCAGATCAGTGGCTTTGGAAAGATAAAGAAGGCCAATGGAACCCGTATCCAAGAAAAATTAATGACAAGATAAACAAATGTTACAGACGAAATAATAATTCTACTGTTATTGTTACAATAAAAGAAAACACGTAAGTGAAAAGTTCGTTGTAAATAAAACAAATCAAAATAAACGATTGATTGCGACTTTCAAATATGCACTTAAAAATCTTTTTAAACAAATAGAAATAACGTTTCATTATAGATACAGAGTAGTCATGGCGAAAGGTATACAGATAGACGTGACGACAAGAGAGGAGTCAGAAGTGAAAATTGTGAAAAGCAAGATGTGTTTGTGAAAAATACGTCCTCGATGGTAACACAATTCTGGAGTGGGACGTAGACTGAACTTGTATCCACTTACCCTTGATAGCGCAATAGTTTTGAGCTAGTTTAAAATTGAAAACAGACAGACAGACAAATAAACAGCTTAACAGACAGGCAGGACAAAAACAATGTACCCCTGGGATGTTTAAATCCGGAAGCAAAAAAATGGCAACCCTTGGTTTTCTTGGAAGAGATATCATACCTTTTACGGATTTTAACCCAATCAAAACCCTTGTTTTTGTTGCACCATTTTTGTTAGGCTGGTAGTGCACTGGAATATGATGAGAATACTTGTAGCTTCGTCAGTTAATTTAGGTCTTTTGGCAGCTTCCAATAACTTAATATATGGTCAAACTTGCACCTTTACTCATTCTTGTCTTTTCCTTCACTACACCACATACTGCTCAAATAAAATACAGTAGGTGTGCATTATCTACATTAATGGGATGAAATGTAAACAAGTTACATAATATTGTCCCCCGCTTTCGCGAAAGCGAGGGGACATTAAATCTCATTGTCTGTCCGTCTGTCAGTCTGTCCGTCACAAAAACTTTAACCTTGCCCATAACTTTTAATTGAGAGGAGCTATGGCTTTCATATTTCACATGTTTATTCCTTGTGACAAGACCTTTCCTTGGGTACCACCAAATTTGACCTTTCGACAATGACCTTGGATTTTGACCCACTTTTACAATAAAATTCTTAACTTTAGCCATAACTTTTGAACGGTAAGAACTAGGGCTTTTATATTTCACTTAGGTATTTTTTGCCTTTTACTGGATATCACCAATTTTGACCTTGACCTTGGAGATTTTTGTACTTATAAAAAAAATTAACCTTGGCCGTTATCTTTGAACGGTTAAGGTTAGGGCTTTTGTACTTCACATATGTCGTCCTTGTGAGAAGACCTTTCATTGGATCCCAAGAACTTTGACCCTTTGACCTTGACCTTTGAGTTTGACCTATTTCTAAAAACAAACAGAGCTAGGACTGTCATATTTCAATATGTAATTCTTGTGAGAGGACCTTTCCTTGGATTTCAAGAACATTGACCTTTTGACCTTGACTTTGGAGTTTGACCTACTTTTTAAAAACTATTACTTTGGCCATAACTTTTGAACAGTAGATTATATGACTTTCATATTTCACATATATATTCCTTTTTGCAAGGCCTTTCATTGGATACCAACAACTCTGACCTATTGACCTTGGAGATTTCTGTACTTGTGAACAAAATTAACCTTGGCCATAACTTTTGAACGGTAAGGGATGGGGCTTTGATACTTCGCATATGTAATCCTTGTGAGAAAAGCTTTCATTGGATACAAAGAATTTTGACCCTTTGCCCTTGACCTTGGAGTTTAACTTACTTTTAAAAAGCAAACTTTGACCATAAATTCAAAAGGGTTAGGGCTGAGGCTTTCATGTTTCAAATATTTAATCATTGTGACAGGACCTTTCATTGGATATCAAGAGTGAAGCATGCTATGATTTGTGACAAATTGACCTTGACCTTCACGATTGACCTTATTTTTTTTAATCCTACTTCAGTCTTAATTTCTAGATGACATACATGTATGATAGGGCGTTCATATTTGAGACAATATCTCATAAAAAATGACATCTCACCTGCAAAGACACCGAAAGCGGGGGACCACAATTTTTTGATTTGCTTGTTGCAAGTATATCTGCAACATAGATCCAGTATATACAACATATAACAACCCAAAGTAAAAATGGAGCAAAAAGTGAAAATAATTGTTTTTAACTTGAATTTGATTACTATTTATATGATATGTGTCAATATGTGAGATTGTACATTTACATTTACAAAAAATATATTAATAAATAAGATAAAAAAAATAACGATAAAATAAATGAACAAATTCAATTTTTGGGTATGTCGGTCTGACATATTTGTGTTAAAATGTTTTCATTTCCAAGACATTTTACAGCTCTATCAGGCTGATATTTCTCATAGGAGGCATAAATATATTCATGGAAACACTATGAATATGATTTGTGTCTACATGCCATTTTTACGAGAAGAGTAAGTTCCAAATTAAAATATAAAAAAAATATCTAAAGAAATTTTTCTGAATGCCAATAGTAAGTAAATTATTCATTTTTTAAAAATTATTCAAGAAAATGTGTTAATCAAATATAAATTTTAAATCAAATCTTTTGATAATTAAGAATCTCTTAGATATTAGAAGTATCAAACATACTACTTTTTCTCCTTACAATTAATCCAAAGATAAATTTTTGACACCATTGACAACTGCTTTTTGAATATAAATGTATATGGAACTAGTTGATTTTAATATCTTCAAAATTGTGAAAATGCAAATAATTACTCTATTAATTTTCTTTTAATCTGCATAATTATATGTACTCTTAAGTTAATAAAGTGACCCTAGAGTGTCTCAGTATCATATATTTAATATAAATTGGTATTTTGACGGAAACTTACCTCCCTCATTTTTGTCCACTTTTTTTATTCCTTGAAAGCAGCATAAAATCAATAGCTCTATGGGAGAAAAAATCATAGTGTAGTCTTAACTCAGTGTCCATCAATATTTACGATGTTTTTTTTAATAAGCATACATTACATATAAGAGATTTCAATTTCTGTCGACTGTGTTTATTCAAGAGAACACGAGGTGATCAACTTGGTGGTATGTACAAAATATCTTCAGGTCGTATTTAGAATGATTTGTTTCATTTCCTGTGTAGTGACATTGCATTTATACATTTGATTACTCCATCCACTTGATCAAACTATGGCGCCCATGTTTTATCGATAGGTGAGGTGATGCTTACGGTGCTCCTTCTAAGCATCTGATCCCATCTCTGGTTAGTCAGGGCCCCATATATATCTCCTGTTCACGATTCGTTTAGTGTACTTTAATCATCATTAGTTTTTAATCTCTAATTTAACATAACATCAAACTTTTATGGATTTTCCTTTATGCGACAATGATGAAAGTGTTGAAGTAACGAAAAAAAGAAAAGAAAAGGAATGTAAAGGAATGTTAAAAAAAAACATATCTGGATCTTATTTGTAAAAAAAAAATACATAAAATTATGGAAGAGAATTACAGCATATTTTATTTTCTTAATTCTTGCATTAATTAATAAAACTTATCATCAATTCACTTTAAATTCTACAATCATGTGAAAATACCAACACAAACGACAAACACACAAACCAATCACGATGTAATTTTACTTAAGTACTAGTTTTTAACAAATTTGACTTCTGACTCCTCTCTTGTCGACACGTTTATCTGTATACCTTTGGCCATGACTACTCTGTATCTAAAATAAAATATTAATCTATTTGTTTAGAAAGATTCTTATTTAAAATAGCAATCAATTTTTTGTTCGTTTTTTACAACAAACTTTTCACTTACGTGTTTTCTTCGATTGTAACAATAACAGTAGAATTAGGATTTCGTTTATAACATCTGTTAATTTTATCATTTATTTTTCTTGGATACGGGTTCCACTGGCCTTGTTTATCTTTCCAATGCCACTGATCTGATGCAGAAAAAGGTAATGAATCTAGCATTCCATCAGGTTCTACATCAGTTGTTTTGTCTTCAAATTTGTCGTTTTTGAAATATTTCCCTTTAGGAATTGTCAAGAGAGAAAGTCCATCTGTGGAATTTTTGTAAATTTTGCTGGATTTAATATCAATACCGTTTTCAGATGCACAGGCTTCTATGTAAAACAAAAAAACTCAATTATATATTTTTAAACGGATAATATGTCGGTTTAATTTAAATAAAAGTACATGTACATGTATTAAAGGTAAGAATTCTTGAAAAGCGTACCATTTGACGAAAAACTTTCAGAAAGTTTCACAGATGACTCACTAAGTTCTGCCTTTCTGATTTGTTCTTGGAGATAATCAACAGCTTCCGGTGAGAAAGGATCGCTGTTTAAATAGCGTTTCTTAATAATTATGATTTTAAATATTTCAAGAACAAAATTTAAAAAAAAGTTATGAAGAATGAATTTTTCAAATTGCTACTGAAATTTTATTTGTAAATCCTGAGTTGGAAAAGTTTAAGCGTAATAAATCGATTTGTGATCTGTCCTAAATAACTTAAGAAAGTATTAGTAGTGAAGCTGTTGGTAAAAAAAAGTAATGTCAATCGATACAATCGGCCTTTACCGCTGAATACAACTAAACATGACAGAATAATATGCAATGTATTGGAAACGGATATTACCAAACCCGTAGATCATATTTCCCATGATATCCAAATCTGTTTTCTGTTGTTTGCCCGTTTTGCCATCGCACCTGTAAGAAAACAGAATGGTTATTTGTGTCTCTTCCTGAAAATGAGTAAGATTTGACACTACTTTTTCAGACTTCTTTCATTTTTAATGTGAAATGGATTGATCCGATTTTGACAGAAAAATATGTTAAGTAAACCTGTGTTTTTAGAAAATTGAAATTCACATAAATCTTCAGTATAAGAATATGAATTTTAATTTTGCAAAAATTTGACTATAATTGTAATTTGAATAAATTCAAAATGTTAGTTTCAAAAATACGACGGAAGAGAGTGAAATATTAACAATTATATGAACTCACAAGCACGATTCCATTGTGTTTACGTCTGTAAACTGATCCTATACTCCCATTACTCTTCTCCAGGTCTCTCCAATCCCAGTCTGGACCTGGTTAAAATTCACATTCTTATAATCATTTCTAAGCAATCAGTCATGTTAAGACTGATCAATGCCTTTAAATGAAATTAATACACACAGTTTTTATTTCAGCTAGACTAGTCCAGAGAGGTTTTAACCCTACTGCTGGTGCAGCTTGATATCTTTCGAATAGCCTTGCCATAACGCATATAGTCGACATTGTGTATTCCATTTTATACTTTTTAGAAACTGATTATTTTATCATTGTTACCTTTTTTGACGAGAGAACCAACAGCAATAGTTTCTTTGTTCAGAATTCTAGGTTCGTTACATAAAGTTACATCATATTTATCCATTATAGGTCCGTATCTGTATGGATATCTCGAGCCAGTGTCCCATTCTACATATATCACACCAACTGAAAGAGAACATCGGTCATACCTTATAATAAATTTATTTTGATATTGTCAGAGCGGAGGATCTTTTAGAAAGGAACTTATCAAAAAAGTGGAGTGTTTAGGAAGATCTCTTTTTTTTGAAAATGTCCAAACTAAGGTAAGAATCAAAGTTTGTTGAAGGAGGGGTTAAAAATATAAGCAAATGAACGTGTACAGAAAGCCGAAAACCCCGACATATTAGAAGTGCATCATCACTTTTGCTATTAATGATTTTCACTAGATGATAGAATATAATCGAGTCCATACTTGAAGCCTATAAATTTTGATGATTAATTAATGTGTGTTTTTAAACCTAAAAAAAAAATTCTCGAAACTTGAAACTTGATTTAAAGAACTAATTTTTTTTATCTGAAAATGATTTTTATGGAAAGCTAAAAACAGTCAACAGCTCTTTATTTTAAAAGATATAATTTTATTTAACCCGATAATTTACTACATTTACAGTATTTTAAATTGTAAAGCCGTTAAAATATCTTAGATGAAACTACTATCAAAAAATTACACTTTGATATTAATGAGATTTACTTCTTTCTGAATGTCCTATAACCGTCCCTGGCCCCTTGCTATCTTGATTATTCCATTTCCAATCACGTCCACGCTTGACTCTGCTTCCCAAAGGAAGCATTTGTGGATCTCTTTCTTGGAATATGTAATTCATTTCATCATCAAGTTCTGTACATATTTCATCCCATGAATTGTATAGTGACTTCTTTGAGCATATTTCAGCTATATCTTTCTAAAAATGTATTTATATTTAAGCCATTTTAAGGATATTAAGATGTATTTAATTTAAAACAAGAGGTCCATGGACCACGGCGCTTACCTTAGTAACTATGAACTGGCCATGCAGATGTTCTCCCTTATAATAGCTATTGTGGCAATTTATAATTTAAATAACCCAAGGATGCTTCCGCATATTTTTCAGCTTTTCTGACCCTGTGGTTCATGAGTACAGGATTTTTTTTTTGTAACACATCCTATTTTTGTTTTTTCTTGACTATCATCCCTTGATAGGGTCTTGGCCTTTCATTTGAAAGATTAACACTCCCCTTCTTCTAAGAATACTTTGTTTGAGAATACTTTGGTTAAAATTGGCCCAGTGGTTCTTGAGAAGAATTAATTTGAAAATGTGAAAAGTTTACATACAGACAGACGGACGGACGACGGAGAACAGGTGATCAGAAAAGTCATTTGAATCACTCAGGTGAACTTAAAACAATGATGACCAGAAAAGCTCACTTGCGTTCAGCTCAGATGAGCTAAAACATGATTGAGCAGTACATTTGATAATGTTTGAAAGGTAACAATAATTCATATTTTTAGTTGTTTTTGCACAAGAATGATTAATCTTTTAATTTTTATTTACCTGATCAATTTCTGTAAAGTCTCTTTCAGGGAATTTGCAAGCCAGCATAGTCAGAATCATTTCGCGGTCAAAGCCATCATTTTTCATTGTAAACGATAACATAGAAGCAGTTTTCTAGAATAAAAATGTGATTCAAATCAGGCTTGGGGTGAATTACATAAAAAGTAATGCATTACCATTACTTCAACAATTTGTGCATTAAATTACCATAACCATTACTCTATTTTCTTAAAGAAATGCATTACATTACCATTACTTTAGTAAAGTAATGCATTACCTTTATCATTACTTTTGGAGGTTTTTAAAAATAGAATTTTATACAAAACTTTGCGATATTTTTTCATAAGCATGTATCCACGCTCTTCAAAACTAAACATGATAAATGATAGCTCAAATTTGATTTCAAGTTTTTGTATATATTACAATGCCATTAACTTTCAATCAAAGAAAGTTCAAAGTTCTGAATTGTCAGTTTTATTACTCATGTACAATACCCACTTTTTGTCTAACTGTTAAAGTCATGTAGTAATTTGACTTTTGGGACACTGCCTAAAATACCTAATAATAAAGCATATAGGCTATTTTGATTAGTACCGTATGAAAAAAATAAATGCATTGACAAACTTTTTGAAAAAGTAGACAGGATGTACATTTTGATCTGCTACGCACAGTGAAGCATATAATGTCTGCATGGCTTCTATTTTCTTTGGTACAATGGATTTTCCATGGTCAGTACAAGGTAAATCGATCAGCTCAATTAATGTTTTATAAAAACAGTCATGAGAAAAGGACTGGTAATTTGGAGCACATCTCCAAACAATGCATTATTTTAATTGTTACATAACCCAGGGACCTAGTGTGTTTTGGTGACACTCTAGCCATTCAAAAGGTACCAATTATCAGTGTACAGTGTACATTAATTAGTGTATCTCTAATGTGAATCTTTTTTAAAAATATCTTTTAAAACTATTTTACATGATTCTTTGAAATCAATTCTTATCTGAAATAAGTTTGAAAACTTAAATGTAAGGTAGGTGTACTTTCAACAGAATAAAAAGTGTATATAAACAGATACATTTCGTTATCTAAATAGGTTAACATTTTTATTCAAAAGCATCATTTGCAAAAAAAAAAAATGAAAATAAAAATAAAATAAATATATAAAATAAATAACCTAAACAATAATTTCCATCATCCATGTGCATTTAAATTTCTTAAAATAGGTACTCATCTTACAAAATAATGTGCTGTGTAATGCTATGTAATGCCAGCATTACACTGGATTTTATGAAGTAATGCATTACATTACCATTACATGTAATGCAATTTTTTGGGCATTACACATTACTAGCATTACTTTGAGTTCGTGTAATGCATTGCAATGCATTACCATTACAATTAGCATTACCCCAAGCTTGATTCAAACGAATGCATATACCTGTTTTAGAAAATAAAATCTTTACAAAGACAACTTCTAAACTTTATTTTGACTTTTTAACTTACAATATTTTCAGAATACTTGGCGAACTGTCTTGCTTCTTCGGGATATACAATCTTCCCTCCCCTGGACTGAGCAGACATGAAATCTAGAGTTATCTATGAATATATAGATAGAATTAAGTTTAATTGCTCTTAATTATGTCATGTCTAATTAAATTTTAGAAGGTTTTTACAGAAGATGAAAATATACAAGCTTATGTAAACTTTTAATCATTAGTATAAATAAAGGATTAATACCAGATCAGGTCTACTTCCCATAGGGATGCAAAAGATAGGATGTCCTTTTCCAACATCTCTCGTATAATCAAGCATCTGAGTCTTTTCCTAAAAAGTTTACAGTATGACAAGTTATATTAAAACCAGTGTGATATACAATCAACAACGACGCTTCCTATTTTGTATTTTTTTATGGACATTTGATCTTGATTACATATGGAGATAACGAACAGTGCTCCTTAGCATGATTGAGAAATAACGGAAAAATCCGTCGAAAATTCAGTGTGTACATAATGGCCTGAAAATGTATGAAAAACTCAATCAGCATTTGACTTAATGCGAAATTGTAGCTACTGACAAGATCATTGTATCGACCATAGAACTTACGATATGATGACTTTAAACGAGACTGTTGATTTTCGTTTCAACAACTTGTTTGTCAATAATTCACCTCGTTTTAGAAATTATAAAGACTACCTCTTCAGTTTCATAAGCCGATGAATCTTCAACTTCACCAGTAGCACTTAAATCAGTTGGTCTACCGTCCGAAATAAGAATTATTCTTGGATGAACATGAAAGTCTCCTATTCTCTTGGTATGTCCTATTTGAGAATGATTCAAGAAGCTTTAATATAAAAGTTAACAAGAATATGAAGCAACGTCTTGCGAAACATTTTTTGAATCGATCATTTTTATGTGTTTGATTCATTATGCTAGATTATCCTTTAAATCTAATTTATTTAAGAAAAGGAAGAACACCTTTCGATGTCAATTATCATAATCAATAAGCACTTTTACATTAAGGTCAAGATTTAGTAAATAACTTTAGACTAATTTTTTGGTGCTAGATCCATTATGACGTCATAATCAATTTCAACTTTTCTTTTTCCCGTACTTTACGGCTTTAGCAGAATTATATAGAAAATAGGGTATTCTCATGACATTCAATTTGAAATCATATGAAAAGTAAACCGGATACCTATATTAAATTTGATATTAGTTTAAAGAAGAGGCCATGAAGATACTAATTATCGTTTTCTATGAGAATGTAGGCAATCTGGATACAATTTCTTTGTCGAATATGAAAAAAACTTCCATATTCATGACTGGTTCTCTTAATTTTTCATTGAAAATGACAATTTAAAATACAGTGTTTCATCTTGTTTACCTACAAATTATGCCCGGAAACACCATGTTTGACCTAGCAAAAGTTGTAAAGCATTAATAAAGGAACTTATTTCTCAAATTTGATAAAACTGTAGGCACCTGTTATTTACTAGAGCTTGACCTTAAGGCAACGTTTTGTTTATATAGTTGCAATAATGATTTTTAAAGGGTGTTCGATCTAAATCCAAGTTCGATTTAAATCCTTGGTTTGCAAAGAAACAACACATTTGTTAAAAATATCGGACGCAATATTTTGCGAATAGTTAAATGAAATTATATTTATTCTAACAGTAACAATATCAACTTACCTACTTCACGTCTTAAGCACGCTGTGGCTAAGATGAATGCTGCTGTCAGTGGCGTTGGTCCTCCAAATTCAACTTCATCTAAACAAAGAATATTATTCAAAGTATTGGATTCGAGTATGGGCAAGGTAGTCAATTGTATTAGATAAAGTGTTAAATTTCTTATTCTAAATTTTACCAATTTAAAATTAGAATTGAGAGTATTAAGAGAGAATAAAGAAGGGTTTTTTTTTAAAGAATAATTTATAATTATTTTAAATTCCTGTTGAAAAATTATTATAAGATACTTAGGCATTGTTTTATTTCCATGTATTGATTTGAATAATAGCGTTGAAATCTGGTGTGTTTTCCACATAATATGACAGCTACATTTTCATCGATGTCTGGATGGTTTGTGTATTCTAAAAAATTCTTTCAGAGTTATTGCAGTAAGCAATCCATATTCAAACATTATTTTTCATTTTTCATTTTTTAAAACAAAAAAAAAATTATTTTTGTTAAACATTTCCATCTAAAAAATTTAATATAAGTAACAGGCAAACCATATACTAGTAAACGAAAGCCCTGAAGGCATCTTCGAGATTCGAAGCTCAGACTTCGAAATTCAAGATGAAAATTAACCAGTTTAAGCGTTGATTCGATATCTTACTGATCTAAATCTAAATCCAGCTTTTTAGTTTCTGACCAAGTCGTTGCATACGATAAGCAGGTTATTTTATTATTATTTTCAAAATTATTATAACACATATTTACCCTTCTGCATTTTGCTTTCTTTTAATGTCTACGCCAACTTAACAAGATATTAATGGTTAGAAAAAGTAAACATGTATATTGCAGTTGAATATCTAAATCCTATAGTGCCCATTCCTAACTTGGAGTTTAAACCAGTGTTTGTTCTTTTTTAATAGTTTTTCTTTGTTTCGATCATGGAAAAAGTCGTCCCTAACTTTGAGCTTAACTTCACTTCTTCAATGTTTTAATTAGCAGACCATAATTTAGAACATAATATACATGCAACATAATAACAGTCATGTATAAGTAGATATGGCGTTGAAAATATCCATACCATCAATAATTGTGTGAAATGTCTCTTTCATTTTTTGAAATCCTTCCTCCCCAAGACTTAAAGATGTATCTAATATAAATATACTGCATGGTCCTCTTCCATGTTGATGGCGAACTTCATGATCTTGAGAAGGTAAAAAATACATTCCTTATTTACCAAAGTTCTTGCCAAAATGTTTGCAAAACAAAGTCATAAGATAAATTTAATATTGCCGATCTACATAAATATGAAGTTGCATGGTTTTGAGGTGTGTATAAAAGTAAACATACCTCTTTCTAAATATACCCATTTAGCAGTTAGAGGGTATTAAATTCTAATCTTTTCATGGTATGTATGTTTGTATTTCTACATGCTCTTTTCAGATAACAAACATTTAGCATTTGTTCATAGAAGCGATTTGTTAAAAATACATACTCTTTAAAGCCTCAAAACCTGCTTGTTCTTCCCAAAACTCTAGTGTTTTTCTAGATCCGAAAGCCATCTACCTACCCAAGATGGAAAAAGGTACAGTCATTCATTAATGTCAACATGGTATTTTGAAATCTGGGATATAGATTTGGAACATTCTTGTAAGATGAAGATCATGTTTTTGCAGCCCTGTGGACCAGGTTGCTCTATAATTAATTATAAGTTAGGATGTATGGGATTGATATGCAAGAAGTTATTCAAATTAAAGGTAAACTATACTTTAAAAAGATTATAAATAACAATATTCTTTCTTAAGAAAATTACAAAAACCACAATACAGATGTAAATTTATTTCCATAAAGTACATTTGAAAGACTGTATATGATTTCCATATAATATACAAAGTTGCTTATCATTTAGTATCGACAAAAAGTAAGATCCGCCTTTTCTAGAACATTAAATTTTACTTATCGTATAAAAACATAAATTACTAAGTTTACGTTGATATTCTTTTCGTCAAATGTATATTTAATAATAGGTTATTTTTTATTATAATTTATATTTTACGCAGCCAATCATTTGAGGAAATTAAGTTTAAAACGGCATCGTATTTTTTCGATTTTTAATCTGATTAGAAGCTTTTCCAGTAGAAAATAAAAGAAATAGACACAATAATATTTGATTTGAAATATATTTTCAGGTTGAAGCTCGGTTTATGGCTAATCCAATACTCATAACAAAATATGTTTCTCATTATAAGACTGCTGAAGTAAAAATTGAATTGAATTCAAATAAAACATTTCTGGTTTTTGATTTTGATTAAATCAACTGTATTTTGGTAGAAAAGTTCATTCTTGGATAAAAGTTTAGCTAATATTGACCTTTTACTTCTTCTATTTTCTGCTTCCAGGTCCAATCATCACTGATTCGGTGCAATTTTTGGTTCATCAGATTTATGCCTTTACTAAACTAAAACTGATTTTGAAGCATTGCAAACGTGTTTAAATATCGGACCCCCTTCCCCCCAAATCCACCTGTACATGTAACTGTCAATTCTTTACACAAAAAACTTTTGTTATTTCACATCCGGAAACTCAATCATGGCTATTCATAAAAATTTCTGCGCATCCCTTATCCCTAGCTTACGTTCGACTTTCCATTCTGTATTCAATGAACTTGACAAAATAAATTCTTAAAAGCTGATACCTTTTTTATTTACATTTTTTAAAATTCTTTTCTCATATCAAAGGAAATAATGTTTTACTTAGGAGAAAGTCCTCGATCTGTCCATTCTGTGAGAGAAGGAACTTATTTCGTTTCTACAAACTTCGATTAGTTCTTTATCTCACAGAATGGACAGTTTTCGACCTTTCTCTTTACATGTACATTAAATTGGATAGAAAAAAGTTAAAGGTAAAATACAAAATACAACATGTCTATATTTTACTAATTCAAAAATTGCAACTTAATTTAAAGTTAACAACAAAGAATTAACTTACCAAGAGAATGGTTTGTATTCTTGCGTTGCAAATCACGTTTCCTCGTTTTATTTTCCTGTTTTGATTTATAATTAAATCAGAATGTATGATATTTGGTACAATATGATATTTGAAAACATTTTTGTTAATTATAAAAAAAAATCAGGAAATCAAAAACAGTTGTTTGGAAAAGAAAAATCAATGCCATGTATGAATATTAACATTATTTCGATTTGAATTGACAGGACTTTCGGTATTGATATAATTAAAAGCTAAAATCATTTCGATTTGAAATGACATGGCTTGCGATATTAAAATAATTGAAAGCTGAAATCTTCACAAAGGGATGGTAATCAAAAACAAGAGGCCCAGGGGCCACATCGCTCACCTGAGCAATTGGCTAGGAAAAAGCACATCAGATCAGAACTGAAAGTTTACTGAGGTTGGGGGGGGCTTGAATTTTAACCCCCCAGGGGGTCATGATTTGAACAAACTAGAATCTACACTACCTGAGGATGAGTCCCTAAAATATCACTAAGCATGTCTTTGAAGTACTTGAAAAGAAGATTTTAAAAGGTTTCCCTATATATTCCTTGTATCGGCCATTAGGCCCCACCCTAACCATGGACAAACTTGAATCTACACTACCTGAGGATGATTCCACATGAGTTTCATCTTTCCTGGCCCAGTGGTTCTTCAGAAGATGATTCCACTTGAGTTTCATCTTTCCTGGCCCAGTGGTTTCTGAGAAGAAGATTTTTCAAAAATGCCATTAATTTTTCTCTGATTCATAATTATCTCCCTTTGGAAAAGGATGTGGCTCTTCATTTGAACAAACTTGAATCCCCTTTACCCAAGAATACTTTGTAGCTAGTTTGGTTGAAATTGGCCCAGTGGTTCTTGAGAAGAATATGAAAATGTGAAAAGTTTACAACAACAACGACGACGATCGACAACAACGAAAACGACGACAACGACAGACAACGGACAAATTTTGATCAGAAAAGCTCACTTGAGTCTTTGGCTCAGGTGAGCTAATAATAAGACATGCAGAGGTATTCTATGTATACCTATATATGTAAAAATAGTCAAATCGCTAAGGCACAGAATTTAGATAGTACAAATTGAAATATTTCAAGTTTCCGTATAAGCTGAGGTCCCTTGTCTCAGTAGGTACTGGTATGAAAAAGAGCCCTCAAAGCTAAATGACCCCGAGTGCCGAGTATAGGACAGAATCTGTAGCTCTCCACCGGAAAGTGGTGGCGTCTCCACATGAATAATTCTCGAGAGGGACGTTAAACAACAAACAATCTATCTATTAAAATATTTAGATATAAATACATGTATCAATATGCAATTATTGTTAATTAATCTATTTCTAGTCAAACGAGTGGGTGTATATTGGATTCGAAACATATGTTTCGATAATATACGTTCATGACTGTCACATATACACATATTCACACTACTTATTCGTATATCCACGTTAAGCCATTATGACTCCGTTCATTTGAAGAATTGTCGAAGGTGAGGTCAAAGACTTAATTGCAATAATAAACTTATTATTGCGATTAAACGCAATAATTATTGCGTTTAATCGCAATATTATTGCGTTTAAACGCAAAAATTATTGCGGTTGAACGCAAATATTATTGTGATTGAATGCAAAAATATTATTGCGTTTAAACGCAATAATTATTGCGTTTAATCGCAATATATTTACATCCGCTGAATATTTTCCCCTTGATTTCTTAAGAAAACCCATTGCGTTAATCACTGCATGAACTACAGTCGGCATGTCGCCTGTACAGATTTCTTATTCAGTGGCTATTCCATCAATGAAACGTATAAAGACGTTCGCATCATTAATACAATAATTAATCTTTTTAATCCTACTTTAAATGATTATTTAAACAGATATAAATATAAACAATAACATGTCTTTCTTTGTTTGTTATTACTGGAATTAACGGTCGCAGCTATTGCAGAAAAAATTTACATAACCTCGGTCGATATACTCCATGCATCTTTGGTCAATATCTGTCATCCTGGGTCATTATAAATGCATATTGACCTACATTGAGTCCATATTTGTATAATATATTCAAGAAGTAGTGTATAACGAATATTGATTTTTAAACAAAATTCTGAATTAAAAATCTCAAAACCTTTAAACATGTATGAAACATGCCTTTTTTATAACTTTGTCTTATACAGGTGTTACTTACTACTTCTCGACACATGATCCCACCTCTGGTGTAATCAGTGACCTATAGCTATATATATTTCTGCTGTTTACGATTCATTCACCAGACAGTGTTTTTAAATCTCTAATTTTACATTATATCAAATTTTTTTGTAATTTCTTACATTTGAAAACGGTCAACGTGTTAAAAATTAACGAATAAATGAACATAAAAAGACATTTAAAATTTTTTTTCAATGCATGTTACTTTTGACATCTACTAAATATGGAACGGTCTTTTAGAAAATATGTTTTTTAAAACGTTGTGATTGTCACAACACGTTAGTTTTTCCTCGTGTATTGTTATAAAGTGAACCAAATTCAAGAAGTTGATTCATATTATCACAAAATACTGAAAATAGGATCTCCGAGTTTCACTTTCATCAACTTTTCGAATGAATTGAACCACATTGGACCAAGGTAAGAAAGAAGATGTATTCACTTCAGGGATATTACATGTACATGAAATTTGTTTTAAATTTGACCTAATGCCAGTATAATTGGCCCTATGTTATTGTACACACTGTTAATCTGCGGTATACTAGTACTGTATTGGCAAAGTATTTCGGATATCGCGATATAGGAGGTACAGACGAACTGACAGACAGGTCATTGCATGAATGCTAAAAGCGGAGCCTAATATTGTTTTGGATTAACCCTAAAACTTTCATAATTCCCTACAATGCTCTTTATAAAAGAGGAATATGAATATACGAGGGCTGTTCGAAAAGTTCTTGGACGATATCAATCTTCGTTACATTACTCACTAGAAATTAAAAAATAAGCACAATATAATATGTAAAAAATATTTGTTTTGTTGATGTGTGAAGTTTCATTCCATTCGATTTAACAGAAATCAATTTATTTCATTTCAAAGTGTTCATGTTTTGTACCCGCGGAGCACACTTAACGGCAATGTAACTTCAAAACATAGCGTGAAGAATCTCTAAAAAATACTACTAAAGTATCCCTATATACATTTTACACGTATAATCCAATGCCCATTCATTAAATCCTTTTCCTAATACTTTTTAAGAATTGCTTTCGTTGTTTAATTTCCTTTGTTAAGGTTTTAATTTGTTTATATTGCTTAACTCTGCTTTCACAGGATACAGGATACGCAACTCTGGACTGCCTATGTCTTTCCTTGTCGTTCGAACTGTTTAAAGTTTTTGTTTAGATTTTTACAGTTAAACCCTAGCTTCACGGATTGTCCCCATCGGATACAGAGTGTCAGTCACTCAAATACTGCCTGTACAATTACAAACATGCACAACTCGCTTGTGAAATATTTTCTTGATTCCTCCAACATTTTAAGAGTCTATTCAGGGTTTTTTCTGAGTAAAATACAAAATTGCATCGATATCTGCTGCTCTGTGAAGTTCTAAAACGT